CAATAAATATCCATCTGAAATATGTTAGTAGTTGTGCTGATTGTTGGTTTGCTCTTCATACAATTTGGGTATTTTTATCTTCATCACAAAGTTAAGTAAGGATTGCTGGACGAAGCAATTTTACAACATCACGATTGCCCTGGGAACGCTTTCACTTCTGGACAGCCCCTCATGGCTTCGTTACCTTGGGGGACAGTCTGGGGTAGCTCTTTGGTTGGGCCCCTTGTGCCACCGCCTGAAAGGCCTCTGGAGTGCACCAACACCCCTGGGGAGAGCCCGGGTCGCTGAGACCAAGAAGGAGAGCCCTGGAGCTTGGCCACTGGAAAACGGAGGAGGATCTGCTCTGAGTCTCTGGGGCACCACCGCCTTGCAAGATCGCCTGCCACGCCTGAGGCCCCTCCCACTTGAATACCCTGACACCGCCACTGGAAGGTCCCCTGGCGGCGCTCCCAGGGACCCTCCCTGGGGCGGTGACACCCCAAGGGTCCCTGCCAAGGGCAATGGCGCCCCGAGGGGCCGTCAGAAAGCGACGGCGCTCCCAGGGGCTTGATCGTGATGTTCATATTGCATACGTCCAGCAATCCCTTACTTAACTGTGATTGGTGGATTAAAATACAAAATGCACCAAATTACAGCCAATAGGAGAACAGACCAGCCAGTCAGCACAACACCCCAACTTATGTTTCCCTGTTGGATATGTATTCACCTTTTCATTGCTCAGGATGTGATAACACTGGAAATGCGATGGGTGGTGTATTTATTTAACTTCATATCTCTCAGAGTTCTAAATAGTGAAAACTAACTGCCGCCAGGGGACCTCCCAGAGGCAAAGACGCACCAAGGGGTCCTCCTCAAGGACAGCAGTGCCACCAGAGGCACCTATCTGTCCTCAGTTGGAACCCTTTATTTATTAATGACATATTCGTATGTTACCGCTGTACTACCAACTTACGTACTATTAATAAATATAAATGATTGGTAGAAACAGCCAGAGAACGTGTAGCGTAGTGTTTGTGGCCAGTAGTCAAATTTATCTTTGCTAGGCTCACATACACGTGTACAAAGAGGAGAATAATACTTTAGGGTTAATTTACACATGACGTTCCAGTTAGGTTTGAAAATAGACAATTTAGACCGATTTATTGATTTGTATCAGGAAATAATCACATGTACAATAAAAATACATTATGGATACTAGAGTTGAGCACTTGGAGGTTTTATTAATACATTATACTTGGAAACAAAAGAAACAATATTTGTAGTACACTACCGTACAGTAAAGTACACATCAGGGTATGAACTACAGATACAAGTTTATTATATAGAGCTAGTAGGAGCACAGATACAAGTTTATTATATAATGCATAATATATCAGTGCTATTAGGAGTTGAGATACGAGTTTATTATGCAGGGTATAGTACATAATATAATAGACCTATTTGGAGTTCAGATACAAATTTATTATGTTATACATGATACACAAGAAGCTACATGTATTTGTATTGTGGTCCTCAGTTTAAATGTCTGTCTAACTGGGTAAAGTAGGTGTGTATATGTAGAGTTAATATAAGTCTAGCACTTTTAGGTATTAAAATGTGTAGTTAGGTAGATATTCATAAATATCGTTATACAAGTTTACAGATTTTTGTTTCACCACTGTAGCGTACTGTAAGTAGCCAGTTGTCAATTCTCTTTAGTTGTCTATTTTCTCTTTGTTTGGGCACACAAACATACGTACATGTAGATATATCACACTCAGGAGTGAGGTAGAATAGAAACTCACAATGCGCTTTCTGTATATATATTGTTGTACAGTGCAGTGCTTAGGAGTGACTAGGTGAGGAGTAGCTTGCTCAGAGGTCCTGAAGGGCAATATATGGCAATATACTCTCATTGATGTCATTAATGTAAATCACAAACAGGGTGGGTCCAAGGACAGACCCTTGTGGTACTTCACTGAGAAAATTTTTCCAATTTGAATTTACCGTTTATGATGACCATTCTTTGCCTGTCTTGGAGCCAACTGAAAAGTCACCTTGTGCCTGGATCTTAGAGACTAATGGTGCATGTGGGACTTGTCACACTTCTTAGAAAAACCCATATACAACACATCTAATGGTAGACCTTGGTCCACTTAACCTGTTACCATTTGAAGGATCCATATACAACACATCTATTGGTAGACCTTGGTCCACTTAACCTGTTAACATTTGAAGGAAAGCGATTGTATTTGTCAGGCAGGATTTTCTCTCCATGAAACCATGTAATGATGCATTGATAAGATTGTGCTCAGTCATGTGCTGGATGATGGCATCCCTCAATATTTAATCCAATAATTTTCATATACGTACTGTACCATATGTGGTGTTAGGCTGATCGGTCTGTAGTACTGATGTACTTTTCCTACTCTTCTTGTATACTTGTGTCATGGTCACAGTTGCACGGCTAGTATTCACCTCAACACTTACTGTAATTATGTATTCATATTTTGCTCCACCGTCCCCAAAACATGTGTGAAACTAATGAGTTACCCCTAGAGAGAGAATTGTTTTCTCTCTGCCTGAAGTGTCCACCTTTAATGTAAATTTTAAGTTATGCTATAACAGTATGAGTATCCATGAGTCAGATATATTTACCCCGAGCTGAGGCATTCAAGGTGTATCGAGTAGTGTATGTTGAAAGCTTCATCTATCTTTGGTTGTAATGTAAATTTTTTAACAAGGAATAGCCCATCCGGGCACAGGTCATCGACCCACAACAGGGCCTAGGGGGAGAAAATATGAGTAAAAGAAATTAAAAATAGAAAAGAAAAAATATATATTAATCTACACCACAAAGATGCCAGAAAACAAGCTTTTTGAAGTGAGTCAGATTGTATGAGTATGGAAACACAGAAGAAGGTAGAGCATTCCACAGTCTGGTTGTGTGAGGAAAGAAGAAGGTAGAGCATTCCACAGTCTGGTTGTGTGAGGAAAGAAGGATGTACTATAATGGTTATTCTAGTGTGAACGACATCCACACAGAAACGGTGGGCACTGCGGGCAAGACGAGTGTTACAAGAACTTGGCCTTGCTGGTGGTACAAAGGATGCCAAATCCACCGAACATTGCCCGTTAAAGTACCTGTAAAAGAGAGATTGAAGCAATGTTGCTTCACTTTATATATATATATATATATATATATATATAAGTAAATCACTGTAGGTGCATGTGATCGATGTATATGCCAATACCCAAATAGTTTGTAATGAAAATTATGTGCCACCTATAATTTTTCATGGGCAACTTTTGGTGTTATTCTGGATGTATTTAAGTACATAAGTAGCCAAACATTAAATTCCACTTGTAAAAGATAAAGGATTTCCCCAGACAAGATCTCAAAGGGGTGACCTAACATAACTTAAGTCTTACCAATTCAACTGTAATCTTGATCACATCAACTTTGTTCAAAATCTCATTAAAGCTAGGTACTCGCAATCATGATCATTAATTGGCAAGTAGAAGGGTGCTTTTACTGAGATTGTGAAGAAAAAAAATTGTTTCTTATAAAATAAATTCAGTTAGAAATTAATATCATTAACCACTACAGCTCCTCCCCAACTTACGACGGGGTTAGGGACCCAAATCCAGGTCGTAAGACGGAAATGCTTAAATAATACATAGAAAATCTAAAATGGGTCTCTTTTTCTTCTCAGCACCACAAAACACTCACTTTTGAGCTTGCCAGCCATTTTGAGGTGAATTACAAAGGAAAATTTTGTCTGTGTACCGACTTTGGGACTTGAAAATACGTAATTTGACCAAATTTTGGTACGACCGAGGCAGGACATAAGGGCGGGTGGTAGTAAGTCGAGTAGGTCGTAAGTCGGGGAGGAGCTGTATAATGCTGTACATCCAGAGTAAAATTAAAACAAATTTCCAATGAAACTTATAAGGTCAGAGTAATTAGGGCTGCAAAACAAAAGAAATTCGTTCAGGAGTACAGTAAACCCTGTTAATAAAAGATATTCCCAATAAAGGTTGTCTTTTTATGTTGGAAAACTAATAAGTTTTCTCAACAGTCAGTAGGGTGTGTAAATATCCAAAATATAAAATACTTGACCACAGCTCCTTAAGAATCTTTATGGATTTTGGTCGAAGAGTTGTACTTCTGATAAATACTGGTCATGCTGACACAAAAATTCACTTCACATTGTAACCCTAATTAATCACCACCTTTAACTTTTTAATGGTGATTTTTTGGTGTTTCTTCAGGATGTGTTTTTACATAAAAAAATTTCAGAATAATTCCCTTGCCATATTTGACAAACTTTATAAAATATTTATTTCAGGGTTAATCTTTGATATAGTACATGTATGCTGAAAATACTCCCGAGTTTAAATATTTTGGCCTGTAACATTGACCTTCCTAAACAACATGAAAAAAAATGGGGCAAATAAAATGCATTATTATTATTTTAATGAATTATAATTATTGACCACTCCACATCCTGTTATCTCAGAAAAGCTATTTAACTGACCTGCAGTGCACATAAACACTGCTGATTAATTTTTATTTGAATGTTTGTGTTATTACTGACAGTGAGGTGTATGATTAAGTTTTTCAGTAGTCTAGGCTGGCTAAACACCCACTCTGAAGGTTTGGTAAAACCAAAATCTGATGTGAATTTTTTAAACCCTTTATACAAAGTGACAAAAGTAAAGTAATTTATACATGTGTATCAACAAATGCTCCAACCCCTTACAATATCATAGTTTATTCCAACATATTAATGTATTCTAATTCAACCGAGTAACTTTTGTGTCTGTTATTACCATAGAATACAACATATATTCATACCCTGTACTAATCTGAATTGTATGTAAGGGTTACTGCAATGAAAATATGTAGTAGTAGTAGTAGTAGCTATGACTGATAACCAGAGTTGAGAAAACTTGAAGACAATATGTTCCAGTCATGACTAATTTAACCACTACTGCATTTCTCCAGAAAACACCATCAAGTTGCCAGGCAGTAAATATTATAAAAAATAAGATGTAAGTCAAATATCAACATGGGTAGCAACATTGAAATGCAGGAGTTGGATATTGTAAAAGATATAAAGCACTTAAAGATAAAAAATATAAAAATTAACAATCTGTATTGTCACTTTGAAAAGGTTCACACAATTCTAACAAAAGAAATATTCCTTTAATTACCCTTTCTAAATGTACCTCCGAAGGTGTTAACATTAGTTCAAACAAACAAATACACAATATCTGCTCATAAGAAGTTAATTAAACCACTTTATAAAGCCTTGTATGTACTCATTTCTACTGGAATTATGAAATGCTGGTTAGCCATAATACTGTAAAACAAAACTAAGTACAGCACAGTATCTGATATAGGTCGAGAAGAGAACCAAATATTTAAATACAGATTTATTGGAAGTAATTTCTGCTAATGTGAAACAAAAACAATGCCTCCCTCATCTACTATTTCAGTGTTATAAAAAACTTCCTCAAAAAACAATAAATTTAAGCCAATGACAGCCTATTGTGTATGCTGTTCACTATCCCTGATAAAACTCTGGCAGTTCATTATGAAGATATACACGCCGATCTACTCCGTCCTTTGTGATGACCGCCACACGTACTACACCTCCACTACTCCCATCACGTGTCAAGGCCAGGGTGAGAGCTGAAACAAGCATTTCTTTCAGTATCCCATTTTAAAAAAAGTAATCCTTTGCTTTCAATGTATACAGGTACTAATTGAAAGTAAAAATATAGTCTGAAGCATAAAATCTCATGGGAGCTAAAATGAGGAAATTTCATGGACACTTTCATTTTACTTTAGAGAGGTACTGTTTCTAGGATGACCCTGAAGAGGAAACTGTCAATAGCAAAATACTAACTATTTTTGACAAATTCAACTGTCTCTTCCATGTTCATGTTGGGCTTGTAAGTTGCATCAATATGACCCCACACGTAAGTGCTGCCTGAACCTCCAATTGCCACTGGCTGACGGACCATCATACCTCCTAAAGGTATTGTGTACACCTGAAATTAATTCAAAATACACAAATAAACCAAATAACTGTTATTCAAAGGACAAAAAAAAAAATCATGGCAAACCTTACGCAAACAACTTATATATCTTATAAGGTCATCCAATGTGGATACATAAGCCTAAAAAATTTAACTGCTTGCATAAAATACTTCATGCAAAATACTCTGGTATTGCTTGTAATAAATATTCAGAAGCAAATAAATACAGTCACATCCAAAGTCTCTTTACCATCCTGGCTAGAGGGAAGGCAAAGCCAAGGTTGAAGAAAGGCCACGACCAAGATTCACTAACAGGCTACAATATTCATAAGAATTTAACGAGTTCATATCTCCTGTGGTGGTGATTCACAAAAGAGTTATGAACTCCACAACTCAATTTATAATGGCTGACTTTTCTTCAAGACCTATGGTGGTTCCGGAGGTCTCATAAGCTTCTTCAAGGCGGAAATAAGGTCACATAACTCCCGTTTTCTCTACTACACAACCCATAGCAAAACACACAGAGCTGCCAGACCAACTTCAAGTGTCACTAGTGAAAATGGAACTAATACTGAAGGAGATGGGTAACAAAGGAGGAGTTGTGTATTTTCGTTAATTATTTCCACAGATGTTCTTATCATTATTGTAATTATTTTACACTACCCTTAACCATATTCATGCTTCTAAAGTCAGCTTAAAATTTTCCCTTTGCATTCTGTTCCTTCAATTTGCACACACTCCTTCTCAGAGCAAACAAACCATCTTGCTTTTCCCTCTCTAGTTTTTTTAGCAATAAATAAATACAACTTTTGATTTAATAAGATAAAGGAATTGCTTACCTGACCTCCCTTAGATTTGTCCCAACCAGCCACTATAATCCCAGCCATCAGCATGTCTCGGTAGTTGTAACAGATCTCTTTGAATGTATTAGCTGCTATCTGAACCAGAGGGGGTTCTCCTAGCTTTACCCTGTCAGTGGTGAAGGGTATGAGTTAAGTATATTTACACCAATATCAATAAACAGACAACTCCTAAACAGTCATTTATGAACACTAATTTCTTATCCGTAATGATAAAATTAGAGTTTAGAAGGAAAGACAACGGTGAAGAGTAATACTGTACAAAAAACAAATGAAAAATGAGGAGAAAAGTTGTCATAAGGCTTTCAAGAAGACAAGAAGTTGTGTGCTGGAAGCTGGGAAAATTTTGGGGGCTATACAGTACAGAGTACAGTACAGTATTGCACATGTAAAGGGGAGAAAATGGAGACGGGGAAAATAGTTTAAACACAGATAAATGCAACCTATGAGAGAGAAGTTGAACTTTTCTGTTTAGGAAGACTTTTAAATGACAGGGAAAATCATAAGTGGGGAGATGAGAGAAGCTTCAAGAAAGTTTAAGTGCATGAAAACACTGTGTAAGTGTTGAGGTTAGGAAATCCCAAAGATACAGAATGGATGACAGGTGTGTACAGGTTATGAATGATACAGGAAAGAGCATCAAAGAATGGCAGAGAGCATCTATAGCACATTCTTCAGTAAGAAGGGAAAGATGATAAGAATGAATTAAAAAGTCAATGCAGATACATCTTCTCTGGATCTACCAAAAAATATACTCATGAATTCAGGGCTGTGGAGTCGGAGTCGGAGTCGGAGGAAATTTCGGCTTGTGGAGTCGGAGTCGGTAAAATTGTCCAGACTCCGACTCCGACTGAAGCTATTCTGTTCCTAAGAACAAATATATGAACTCAGGCATATTCATTGCAGTGATTCCACTGATCCCACTAATTTTCTTAAATTATTAAAAGAATTTATTTCCATTTTATAAGCATTATTATGAATTTATTGTAGCAGGCACAGTATAGCACTATAATTTTGGACGATAGTCTCTTCTTTACCATTTGAAATTTTGAATTATATCAAATTTTGTTTCGTTGAAAACTGCACAGAGGCTCTCAGCTACAAAACAATTAGCTACAACCTGTTTTTGGTGAGATTAAGGCAAATTTAATTTAATAACTTAATCATGTAAGGTTTATCCATTTTCCTTAATAAGGTATTCATTTCTTTAATGTACATAAATATATAACTTTACTTTAAAAGGAATTGTAGGATCATCATTTAGATCCACATCAGATTATGAGCTTAAACAAAATTCATATGCTGAGATCGAACTTTTAGATATACATGTAAATGGTGTTTTCTAGTTAATATCTTGAATTCTTAATAAATTTATTTTTCTTTTGATTGAAACTTTGAAAGTCAAGCCTATCATCTTTTTGTAGTTCTTAAATATCGTCCAGATCATTAATAAAGCTGTAGCAGTATAGCCACGGTGTTTTACTTTTTACCTATGCAGGTTACAACATACAAATTACAATTAGGATGGTAGAAATAGTTGTTACAAATAGGCCAAGGAGTCGGAGTCGGAAGCATAAAAATTTGAGGAGTCGGAGTCGAAGGTTTTGTCTTCGACTCCACAGCCCTGCTCATGATAGTGAATAAATTATCTTGAGATAAAAACATGACACTTGGGGATTTTTCCTAGGAAATTTCTGAAGATTGTTAGCCCTAAATGTTGCAAAGTTCCCAAGGCCAGAGGGGGTACTTAAAAGAACAATTTTTGCTCAGTTTTCAGGCTGTCAATTGAGATACCATTTCAAAAGATAAACTAATAAACTAAGAACATACCATAATGTACCAAATTTTTAAACTCATCTGTGAAAACCTGAGCCTCTTGGTGTTAACATATTGTTGCATTTTTAAGAAACCTCTTTAACTACAAATGGTTGATCCTGATACCATATAATCCTACAAAATCCTCAAGTCAAGTTGTCAGAACTATATAGACATATAGTTAGCAGTTACTTACTCCAGGATTTCCATGTGTGATGAAACAACATCAGCAATAGCTTGAGTATCTGCAGCCGAACCAGAGCGACAGCAATAAATTCTGTCTGTTACCCGTGTCAACTTGTCAGTCACACGATTAGAAACATACGTGCCCATGGATGTACGGGAATCAGCACCAACAACAACACCGCCATCAAATTCTGTAGCCATGATGGAAGTCTGAAAAGTGAAGTCAATTAATAAATCATACCTGTAGTATATTCAAATAACACACTTTGCCACGCTGGTTTTTCATACAAAACTAACTTAAAATGCCACAATTTCACTGTCGTAGTTATGGCAAATGTGTCGCTTGAAGAAAGTTGCTTTTATTGGTACCAGATGTCAAAGTAGTACTTTCTGTTTAATATTGTAAGAGGTCTGCCTTCTGACTAGGTTAGGTAGGTTTCTTTGGTTGGTTAGGTCAGGTTCTACAGTATTATGTTCTGTGCATTGTCGTATCATTTTCATTACTTATTATCAACAAAAGAGAGAAAATGAAAGAAATCAAACAACACGTTCTGGTGGTAGCCACCTGCTCCTGGAATACCGTAACTTCCCCAACACAAAACTCCTGGTTCTCACTGGGGTGTCCCCCTAGATTGTTCAGGGAAAGGGGGAGTAAATCTCAACAATGAGCCATTTGTGACAGAAGTGAAAGTCAAAATCATTCAATACACATCCAAAACCACCGGAAAAACATAGTTTGGATATCTAAAACAATTATGGACCTTAAGGAAAAATTTACCAAGCTTTTCATGTGTATCACACCTGGCAACGAGACACCTGTTTTATATTTGTAGTGGATATTTTGCTGTGACCGGCTAAGTTCATACTAACACTATTTTACCGTGAGTGCAGTCTGATTGGCTAAGTACCGCCCCCCGGCTAGGAACTTAGGGTGAATTTTTACTTTCGGATGAGTCCCCATGGGTTAACCAATATGTTTTCCCAGTGTATTTTGGTGCATTTTAAATGAATCTGACCTTCATTTAGAGGAAATTGCCCGTTTTTTGTTGTGGGAAATCAGGATTTTTGGTTGGGGGAGAAAACGAAAACGAGTCGTCTAACCTAAAAAAAAAACGTAACCTAACCTAAACCCTAGCCGAGGGCTCCCCCTCCGGATCCCCAGTAGGCCTAGCTTAAACTAACTTAACAGAACCTAAATGTTTCAGTAGTTTAAAACTTTGGGGTGCGCCATGTCCAAAATTACAATAGTGTACCTTAGTTAGAAGTTGATAGAATGATCGCCTTTCTCATAAAACTCGGCAATAAACTTTAAAATAATCGTAGGAGGACGAATGACAACCAACCTCCACTACGTCCATTGTGAGACTGGTCAATAAAATTAAAATCCGTACCCAGGCTGCTCCCTTTGAAAAAAATTCAAATTTGATTGGTTGAAAATTTTTTAGCCTCTGTCTTATAGGCAGAAGTATTTAAATAAATGGGTTAATTACATTTGACTTATATACTCTATCACCCCCTGTAACTTTCCACTAGCTATGAGGTAGCATGTTCAGAGCAAGTGATACGGTGTGCTCACGGGAAGTTGCGTCACTTGGTGCCGAGTTAACCGGCTCTCTGGCCATCTATTGTGGGCAGTAGTTTGATAACCCTGACTAGAAGAAGACGTGATTTGGAGCCATCGTGGATGGTTCCGTCATCCCTCGAGGGAGGATGTCGGATATATTTCCGTTCTTCCCTCAATGGGTCCCAACTCACCTCACCCAACTATCTCATCGACAGGACATGCTTGGCAGAGCTATTTAACATAGCCTCCGTCCTCATTTAACACTCATAGCTACAGTGGTTAAATTACGGTGATAATCCTTTTTGAGAGTGTACATATAAACCTTTTATAATAAATACAAACAAAGGAACATATTGGATTTCACTACAAAAGATCCAATAAACTTTGATCTATATTTTAGCATGTCTAAAATATAAGGTAATGACTGTGCTTCACAAGTGGTGACAACCCAGGAAGGTTGTTACATATATGACAGTTTCACAAGTAACTGTTATATTTACACTAACAGTCACCTCAACAGATACACAGTTGGTAAAGGTAGAAATATTCTGTTCTCGCCATTACTGTGTCATACTGTTACATGGTTACTAAGAAGTATTCGTTTTATGGCGATATCGATGCATCATTGGTCACGACTGGATGACGTTAGTCAATATTGCGCATCACGCAACATCTCCTCACAGACGAAGACTGAAAACTACGTAAAATCAATTCAATTCAATTGTGTCACTATTATCCATTTCCGCCTGGTATATATGGGGTTCAAAATACTCAGAATAGGAAGATCTAAATGTTTCAGTAGTTTATAACTTTCGGAGGCGCTATTTCCTAAAGAAAAATAATACCGACTTTTATGGGTACGATTTATCTTGGGTATGAGTTGTCTTGGGTACAAGATGACCCTAACCCAAAATAGTGGTGACGAAACGGGTTGGTGACGATATGAGAAGATCCCATGTTTACAACTACACAATGATCGACTCATGGCGGAAAAATACACCAGTCACGGTCAAATATATTTTCGCGTTATACGCCGGTAATGGACGAATAGCCAGAGCACACTCACGGTAAAATAGCGTTTGTAGAAACACCCGCTCACGGCAAAATATCCACTGCCTTTTATATTTAGTTGTTGTATGATTCGTAAATCATCAGAAAATACTTACCCCCGTCAAGAGTTCACTATTCATCCAATCGGGTGTTAACGAAGTCAAGTGAGAGGAATTCATTGTAGAGTGACTTGATACAGCCGCCGACGCCATGATGATGAAGGTTGTTGTCTAACTGCTGAGGGACGGGGCTAAACATACTAACAAATATATTTTTATCGAATCTTAATACATTTTACATGATTAATTTCTTTAAATAACTAAAAAAATAATTCTTAACATAAAATTACCAATAATAAAGCAAAACACGGGACTAAAACTATAATTCAGTTGTATTGATGACCTAAAGACCTCCCGGCAGTTCTGTATCTCAGCAGTGGAGTGAAGTTGGACCCTCACCTGCATCTTGTGATCGGGGATGGAACTTTTAGCGAATGCCTATAATACTCTTCGGTTGTCTCAGCGGGTACATTGTCTGCCTCGTCAGTCTCCCCCACAGTCTAAGAACAGACTTTGTGGTAATCTTTTGCATCTTACCGGAAATCCTTGTTAAATACCTTGTTAAATACTCAACCAACTTCATGACTTCTACTTTGCTGAGACTTAGGGAAATCTTTGATGTAAAGAAGACATTTGTGTATAATGAAATAAATCCACAAAACGGAAGCTTTTAGCTGTGTACGGTCACGAGAGGAGAGATGGGTGGGTTAGAGCCTGGATTGACCATCGAGAAATGCTCCCAGTGTCTAGGAATACGAGGGGATCCCTACACAGAAATTCAAGACATGGGTTGGATCAAACGATGAGCAGGACAGGAGGATGTATGCAAGAGCCAGAAACCAAGCAAAGAAAGAGTGTAGAAGGGCTGAAAAGGAGTTCCAGAGGCTGGTTGCAAGCGAGATCAAGTCAAACCCAAAGGCATTTTACCGCTATGCAAAGTCGAAATTAAAAACGCGAGTAGGAGTATCAGACCCGAGGCTTGAAGATGGTAGTTACGCAGAATTCTGACCAGAATAAAGCTGAGGCATTGAACAGCTTCTTTTCCTCGGCGTTCACAAGAGAGGATGCAATTAACCTTCCTGCGTTTGAGGACAGACGGTTCGACATAGCACTGACACACATTGTGTTCACAGAAGAGGGTATTAGAAATAAACTGTCGAAGCTAAAGGTCCATAAGAGCCCCGGCCCTGACAAGGTGCATCCTAGAGTGCTAAGAGAGTTGCAAAAGGACCTCTGTGGGCTCCAAGAATGTTCGAAGAAATGGCTGCTGAGATTCAATGTCACGAAGTGTAAGAGGATGCACCTGGGGCGTACCAACGGTAAGGAGGCGTATCATATGTCCCAACGGGATGAAGAAACTGCACTATTTGAGATTGAATGTGAGAAGGACCTAGGTGTGTATGTTGACAATGAACTGAAGTTCTCGGGTCATTGCGAGAAGAAGGTAAATCAGGCAAATAAATTATTGGGTCTTATAAGAAGGTCGTTCAGATATCTAGACGGTCCGTTCCTCGTAACGATCTTCAAGAGTGAAGTGCTTCCCCATCTGGAGTACTTTCACCCCGTCTGGTCCCCGAGATATGCTAGGGACTGTCAGTTGGTTGAAAATGTTCAAAGGAGGGCCACCAGACTGGTGCCTGCACTTCGGCACCTCAACTACCCTGAGAGATTGGAGCGCCTGAAATTGCCTAGCTTATACTACAGACGGGCAAGAGCTCACACTCGGTGCTGTCACAACACTTTCTGGTAGATTGTTCCAAGAGTTCACAACTCTCACTCCGAAAAAGTTTGCCCTCACAGTTTTCTGGACTTGCGGTTTCTTCAATCTTGAGCTGTGACCCCTTGTGGGGCGAGCGTCCGCCAGCTCCAGGTAAGGACACTCGACTGAGTAGTGCCCCTTGAGATGCTTATACACCTCTATTAGGTCGCCCCTTAAGTTTTACGTGAAATCTAAAAAAAAATCAGAACCCGGAGGTGTTGAAACACGCAAGAAAGCAAGGATGAGATCAGAAAAGCAGCTTTTAGACCAAATCATATGCAGAACATTTGCGCTCTTTGGTATGGGTGCCCTGAGGCCGCGTTAGGCAACCTCCGAATCAGAAAATTGCGATTTTGACCACGTAAATGAGCTTTTTTTGGAAAAGTTGCCAGTAATAAATCTATCTTAGAATTAATTTTTACATAGGGATACATAATAGCCACTTTGATTTGTCCAATTTTCAACCCTGAACCCAGAGTATTAGTTTTATCCTCTTCGCCACTGATCGGCTCGTTAGCGCCCAATATCCTTCAAAATCGTATAAATAACATAGGGCTAACAAGCTAATACATGATTTATAACAACTTTGACTGAATGTTATTTTAGACATTCGCTAATAGTTCCATTTTCTTACCACAAGATAGGAAGAAGAGGCAGAGGCTGGCTCTATGTTCGTGGGACATTTATAACACCAACTCCAACCCTTTTGTAAATTCTCGTTTATTTTAATTTTGCTGCTTGTCGTAGTAAAAATATATTTACGCGTATGTTAATATAACTCGGGAAAGCTCGAATTGTATGGCCAAATAAGTAAAACGTGTCAATGGAAAACAAAAAATATCATACTGTACTTGGTTCTCTACAAAAATATAATGTTAATTTTTCATTTAAAATAGTCTCACATGCTGCTGTAAAGTTAATATATAAACTCTGCTATTTAAAAAATGAAGAAATATATATTTAAAATATATATATTGTCTATTATCAGTTTGGTGATACGTATTCCACTGAAAAAGATAAATTATCCATATTCCTCCAGATTTTTAAGGAGACAGTTTTACTTGCCGATTACTGGAATAATCTCCACATACCCCGACTTTGAGGATAAAATTAAGAATTATATTAATAATTGTATAATATGAGATAGAATAAAATGCCCTAATATTTCTAATAACAATACATAATCAAGTCTAAAGCCACGTATTTTCCTCCCACTATATGCAAATAAAACATTAAAATTACATTATATTCCCAAAAATTATATATATGATTCAAAATATACTAATATAATTAATTTTAATCATAAGATAAAAAAGATTTAAGGTAAAGTTTAAAAATTAGTTAAAATTCCTGGTGGGTGGGAGGGGGGTGAGGTAGAGAGACGTGTCAGCTCCAGACTTTCCCCTAACATCAACACCATCATGACTCTAAGACAGTTGTTCACCTTTTTGGGTATATTTTCACTCCTTAGCGTCGCAGAAAGTTATTTTGTGACTGTAGATGCCCATGCGGAAGAATGTTTCTTTGAGAAGGTTACAACCGGCACGAAACTTGGTGAGTTATTGCCCCTGACGAATATTAATAAGAAACTAATGTTATTGTGTCCATATTGAGGGTAAGTGGTTATTTTTAACGTTTATGGATGTTTTATGGTGGATTAATATGTATAGATTGCAGTTAACACACAGGGAAACATTATAGCCTCATCATACTTGTTGTAGATGAATTGTAAAGATGCTATACGTGGTAATCTTGCGGAATGGCCCGGGATTCCAGCTTCTTATAAATTTCCCTTTTAGAATATAAACCTAGTGAACCTTATGTATATTAACCTACCTAACCTAACTTAGAATAACTTATTTTCATCTTAGGATACGTAGGTTTGCTTCATCTTATCTTCGACAAATTATACACTAATGTAAAGAAAGTAATATGACGTCAGTGGGAGCTAGCACATTGACAAAAATTTGTTTTCAGATAAAAAAAGATTCTGCAAAAAATTTAAGAAAGTTTAAACTTCTTCACCTTGTTTAGGATATTTTTGTGGCAATAAATAATAGAAAATGTTCAAGTTGCTGGTTCTTGGGGGACATTGTTCTAGAGAATTACCATACTCTGGTTCATCTGTTCTGGTTAGGCTCATGTGTTCTTTAGGGTGCTGACTGTAGTGTGGCATGATGTAGGTAAGAGCCATGCAGGAGCTTCTTCCTTTGCTAGAGTGACCCAATGGGGTTTTTATTATTAGGTGTAGTGTCTTGTCTTAACTCATCCTTAAGCAGGGAATGGGTGATGGAGGCACGGTCAGGTACTGTGGGATTGTCAACAAATTGCAGGCTAGACATTTCTTTGACCACATGGATTTTCTTTTTTAAGTCATGGAAAATTTATGAAGGAATCATTTTCAGGATTGGCTTTTGAGGTTGCAGAAGGTGGCTTTCTTGATATAGACATCAAGATCTACAGCCCCGATGGGAAGATCGTTCACGAGGGCGAACGCGAATCCAATGGCCGGTACACGTTCCCCGCCAGTATGGATGGTGTCTACACGTACTGCTTCTCTAACAAAATGTCAACCATGACCCCCAAGATTGTTATGTTTTCCATGGATGTTGGTGAGGGAATCAAACCTGGCCATGAGGCTGCAAACGGAGAGGAAGGTGAGTGATATTGACTAAACTACAGTTGAACGGTCAGCTTAGATATTGATTGATAGCATATTCTGTACAGGTTATAGGAGTTTTTTAGTAGCTATAAATATTATAGAATTTTGTAAAATAGAAGTTTGTTTTCTTCTTCATAAAACTTCACCTAAAATGTATATATTGTACACTATTATTGTTTTGATTTATTGAACTGAATAAGTTGAAGATTTATACACTGAAATAAGACCTTGTAGATCTGAATTATACAAGTTGTATATAAAGTCGCATTTTTAATGTTAAATGAGTTAGTGTGTTCAGATTCCGATAATTTTGTAAATATTACTGTAATGTTTTACTTAGGATGTATAGAGTGTAAAGAATATTTATTACCAATGATTTGAACTTTTATTATCATTTTTATTACAGTATAGTATACCAACTTTAAAACAAATAGTTTTTTGTGTGTGATAAAGTACTGTACCGTAGCTATGTATAGTGCTTTGGGGTCATCTCTTAACTCATGTGCTACTCGGGTTACTGTGTCTTATTGTGTGTCATCTGGTTTACACAGGCTGGTACGCGCAGAACCTCCCTCACACAGGTCTGTCGTCACTCTTTCCCCATTGTAGAAAATCTTTGCGGCTTGTGACATATTGCACTTCACTCACTTAACACTGTCATTCACCAGTGATATTGTTCTTTATCTCACATTCCCTCTTAATATCAAAGCACTGACGAAACTTTCCAGAGATTTTGTGCATTAAATTTTTCCTCTAAACTGTGGATAAGAGAACACTATTGCATCACGGTTTTAATGAACCATTTAGTTGTGTTCCAACATCTCCGTTTAAGAGAAAAATTTAATGTATCAGCCTCTGAGAACTGAAGCCCAAACCCTTCATCTTCTCAGACCAGTCTCCCTTTACTTCATCACCCCTTCTTATTCCTGGATTTCTTCTCACTCCATCATTCCTCCTTGTAGCAGTTAACATGTACAGTCGGGGAATGTTCCACGTAGGACACATGGTCAAAAGTTCGAACCTCTGAATGTGAGACCTATGGTAATGAAGTAGTAGCCAGACACTCACCAATCTGGTAAGTGTGTGTGAGAGGGGGAGGGGGTTATGGGAGTTGATGACATCACAATATCATCGGCCAATCATAGTGCCTAGAAGGTATTATCATACTGCAAAAGTGGTAAACTCACCAGGAGTTCTATAACTCAAAATGGACCACCAACAAAGCCAAATTGCTCTTGGAGGACAGGGCGGATTGTTGGTTTGTGACAAGCTGAGTACTCCAAACAAGGAATTGCCCATGAGCTCGATGTTTCAACTACCACTGTAAGCAAGTGGATCAAGAGATGGGGCGAGAGTCGCAACTTGATTGACTCTCACACACAGTTAACAGATTGGTGAGCGTCTGACTACTCTCTTCTCACACTCAGAATGTTTGAACTTGTGGGTGGATGTCTTATGCGAAACATTTCCCGACTGTTCATTAACGTCTGGCATTTAAGAATTAATTCTCTTTCCACATGCATGTCTTTGGACAAATTCTTAATATGATCTCAGCATTACTCTTGAGCAAGTTCCTTCTCATTTATGTCTTGCTGGCATAGTGACTGTACTGTGTTTTAATTGTTGAGATATGAATTTATTAATTTCGTTTGATTGTTAATTTATGTTTCTTCTCTATTTTGCTATGTTCTATATGAAAAAAAAATAGCTATTGAAGTTACTCATGTTTAATTTCTCTTATTAGTAACAGATGAGGTCAAGACGCACATATTTTTACATAATACTGTATGCTGGGAACAATAATTTAATGGAGGAAATTAGCAGGGGATATGGATAGGATAGGTTTAAGATAGAAGTCTACAGTTCCTAAAGTTACACATTGTACTTAAAATTCTCATCATATAGTGTTATAGGTGTTTGAATACTGGACTAGTTCTTCCAGCAAGGAAGTTAAAATGGAAGCTGGTCATTGTTACATGGCTCAGATGATAGTGCTTTGGACTCGTAACTCATCCTGCTAGTGTGTGTTGACTCGACCAACAGTCTCATCGCTTACCTGGGCTTAGCTAACCTTCAGGCCATCCCCAAACTTGTTGGAAATGGCATAAGGAATACTTTAATAAGGACAACAATGCTGGCTCGTGTACTTGCCACTTGGTGTAGCAGGAATTTCATAATTAAATATGTGCAGTACATAATTATTTTGAATCTTTCATTCGACCACAAATCCCCCAGTTTTGTGTCAGTATATTTTTGATCATCTTGAATATTAATGAAGCTTTTTCTAATTACTTACAATACCATAGTTCCATTTTTGAGACAGCCACTTCTTGAACCATTTATGGTGTGTTTTTCTAATGTTTTCTTCTGCTTTGTGCAGGGTGGGACATGCAGAATTTCTCCCAAACAGGTCTGTCGTCATACATTTCCCACCTCATTGAAATAGCTTTAATAAAACTTAGTGCCCCCTTTCACACAGTCCTCAGTTAATCCATGAATTACCATAAATATTCCCTCCTGTACATTATATAATTACTAACCAAATTAACCCTCTGGTTCTCCTAGCCATGGTTGGAAATCTCAATCCCTCGCTGTCTTTCAACACAAACAGCGTTGTTTACAATCTCGCCCCCTCGCAGTCTTTCGATGGTAACAGGAACGTTTTTTCCGTTTTAGTAAACATTGGGTGGAGTGATCCAGACCCAAATTGCACACTTAGAAATACATCTGCCAGCCCACAAGGCTAGTGGGAGGAACATAGGTAGTTGATAGGACCAGTCCACTGTTAATGCATTTCTGCTTGGGAGGGGTGCTCTCAATGTGAGATATGACTAAGCAAGAGGGATTGCGCCAGTACAGGAGCTCTTAGCGATGAAATCTGCATCGAAAGACCACGAGAGGGTTAATGGTTTTCAATGGTATTAATTACCATATAAAATCATTAATAATAGTTTGGCTATAAGGAACACAGATAATGTTCACTTACCTTATAAAGATTTTAAAATCCTAATCCCCATCTTTTATAACAACTTAACAGCTTTAGAGTTTCAGTCAACAGATCTATAACCTGTGATTGTGCTCTGTGGTGTACAGTACATAGAAGAGGATTTAAAGAAGTTCTAGCTACAGTATTTGGAATACTTGCACATCCACTTGTCTGTCGTGTTCTTGTTTTGTCCAGCAGCAATTTCAAGTCTGAAAAGAATATTCCTACAGTTAGTTGAAAACCTTGAAAGGAAAGATAAAAAATATTCCCTAGCTTTTATTTATTTTCACATCTTCAAGGCAAAGGATGTTTTAAGAAATCCAGTGAAAGCTTAGCACCCTTTCTTTTTATTTCTTTGCGAGTTTGTAAAGATAAAGTGTGTTTATGTTGTGAGTATGAGTTGATACTTGCACAGTTTCAAGGATTTACTTTATGTAAAAGTACCATTTTTATTTGACATTCTCCCATGTCTGACTGTTAGGCCAATGACTGTACAGTACAGTACTCTACTGTGTTTATATATTGAATGGGCCTCTTATCTCCAGCATCTATTATCCTTCTCCTACTTTGATCTGGGGTGGGTCATGAGGTACAAGAATCTCAAAGAAGGGAAGAAATGGGGCGTGTCTCATTAAAAGGGGGAGGGAGGTTAATAAGTAAAGTACAGTCATGAACGAAACTTCTGTCACCTCTTCTGCTGGTCCATGAACCCCAAGATGCAAACTTGAGAACCTGAGACACTGATGTGATATTCTGTCCATAAATGCTTCAGATTCACGAGTCTGAATCTTAGGGTTTGTGGAGCAGCAGAAAAGGTGACAGGACTTTTGTTTGTGACTGTACTGTACCTCATAGAAGGGAAGACACAATAGGGAAAAGGCTGCAAGAATGTACAAAAAGTTAGGAGGAGGAGCTTTAACTTAACACACACAAATATCCTCATGCATTCACCACCTCAACTGTTATATGCAGTGTACAAAGTGAGTCTTAAGCATCCACATTGGCTCATAGTGGTTACCAAGTTGAGCCATTGGATTAATTTATGAATAAAAAAGCATTTACTGTATTGTGTTGTGTTTTATTGTATGTGTCAGGTCTTTGTGTTCTATTTTCACTGTGGCTGTATACGAAAAAAATAAGATCTTAATTCCCATACTCGAGCAGCTGTTATTAGTCAATTTGATCACTATTATCTGTGTGCTTTATACAGTGTGTATATGTTTGTGTGTGTGAAATCACCATGATCTCTTTAGCTGTATGAATGCAACTCAGTGATCTCGGACACCTTGACTAATTTTTGTTGTTGTTGAACGGACCTATATTTTTATATTTATTATGGGAAATATGGAAAGATTAGGTGACCTTTATACAAGAATTTTGAATTTTGTTTTCAGCAGCATCATTTAGCTCCAAAATACCATTCCTGATTAACTGACTGAATCACCTGACTTAACTGAGACCACCCCACATAGATTTAACTCATGATGTGTTTATTCTTTTTGTCTGCCACTTATGTTGAAAGTTGTTTTAATATATTATAGTCCCTGTCCTTTTGCAATTGAGAACAGTTTGTTAAAGAAGGATGATGTGAGGGGAGGAAGTTGTTGTAGAATTCTTAGAGGCCCTGAATATGAGATGGAGAATAGTGTTATGTGCATGTCTTGGTTAAAAAAAAATACAACCTAGCATGGTGCTAAATGACTAATGGAGAAAATAAATGTAATTAAGTTAGTTTTAGAATTACATGATCATTATACAATTTATGCATGGCTACTTAGGTAAGCTCAGTCAGAAGTTCCTTCAGTGTTTAGGAAGACAAATATTCTGCTTGGCATTGGTGTTGGCTCTGAAGTTTAAGCCATCTTGTTATTTTGATCTCACAATTTAGATTGAAGGTTTTGGTATAGAAACTGAAACTTTACCATTGCACCTGGTCTTTTGTGGCCTTTTAGACCATTCTGTACTGTAACTTGGAAACTACAGTACCTGTAGCTACTTTTCTCTTGTTTCATTTTAATTATCTTCCACTTGTTACATGAACATCATGAAGTCGTTCCTTGATGACTTGTAATTTCTGTATTTACCTCCTTGTTTATTTACTTATTAGCTATACTGTATCTTAAGTTTTTTTCTGGTACTGATGCTACCTTTCCTGTACGTAGGTGGACCCATGCAGAATTCTCCTACGCCAGGTCTGTTGCAACACCTTATTCTCCCTCCCTATTACTGTGAATTTAACCCTCCTGTCCTAACACCCTTGGAGGCCTTTATTCACCAACTATTTTCTTTGCTTATTTCATATTTTCTCCAGTATTCTCTTCCTTCTTTTTTTTACCTAAGTTTTTTCTTAATTTCTTTCTCTTCCTTCACTAATTAATTTTAAAATCAAGCTCACTCCCTACGTGCACCGAGTTGTAATCCTTGGCCTCGTCGGTGTGGTTGCGTCCGTTTGTCTGTGATGAACATCTAAGAATAGTGTATTGTACAGATTATGACAAGATTCGACAGTCCTATGCACATCATGATATATTGTGTTGTGTGAATTATGCTCTTTGTACCTTGCAAGCATTTGTCTTTTAAGCCGTATATCATATTTACTACATTTTCTTCTGATAGGCTTTCCTGTATTTCTGTCCAGGTTGGGCCTTGCAGCAACCCCCGATATCAGGTCAGGCAACATTGATTTCCACTCATCCCAATATGTTGAATCCAAATCACCCACTCGGTTAATCCTCCCAGCTTTTGTTTTAATTTGGATTAATATCTCGTGTGCTCTTATCTAACCTCTGTGGTTGATTTTTGTGGGACTAAACCTCTTGAAGCAGAGTTGTATTTTTTGTATGTGACTAATGTTCATCCCAAGTTTGTGAAGTTAAAACGATGGGATGATATGTTGGTATATCCTGCAGACAAAGTGAGGATGTTTCTTGGCATTTTCTTGTTGCTGATGATTGTTTTTTAACTCTGGTATATTCCTGAGGCAGTTGTTTATTGTGCCTTTCCTCGTGAAGTTTTGTTGATAATTTTACAGACGTTAATATTAATATGAGATATTGCAATGTTGTTTGGGTTTTACTCTCTCTCTGTGACTAGAATACTGTAGTACCTCATATTAAAAAATGTCTTGGCCTCTTGTCTGTTCGATTTTAATCTATTTTTTAACTACAGCTGTGTTAATTTTGTGTTACAACTCATATACAGTAACGATATATAAGTTCATAGTGCTTTAATACTTTTATCATACTAGCATTCTTAGTATTGTATATTAGCTTTGCCTACACTTTATGCAGAATTGAGTTTGTTTTATTTTGCACTCCCAAAAGAACAACTGCATACCTCCACGTTAAAAGGATTTATCATACTCTCCCTGTACTAGGATACCGTCCCACCTAATTATGACCATTAATTGTTGAATCACTGGTTAAACAATATACCCAATCATTTTGAATCACTGATTGTCTACTTCATTTAAATGATGGTTCGCTCCACAGCTGATTTTACTGAGTGGAATCTGTCATTCTCACTCAGAATGTGAATCAGCTTTTTGTGAGTGTTGCAGTTAGCTATAAAATACATTGTACTTTACCCAGTGGTTTAGGATGTGGATTCTAGTGAGAACAGTAGATTTGTACAGTACTGTATAGGGCACTGAATAGCATGAAGTCTAAACCTAGCACACACACACACACACACAAAAAGAAAAAAAAGACCCATTTTATGCATTTAAATTGTATGAGTAATTTTGTTTGCCTAAAAATCCTCGTGCTCTTGTATGTGTGTTATTAGATAGTTTACATTCATGTTTATCACCACCACACCGTGTCCATTTTGCAGACTGCAGTACTAATTATATTAATTTTTTTTTTTATGTTTTTCAATGTTTATCTTCCTGCAGCTTTGTCACTTTTCATTAATGTGAACTTAACTCATTCATATGCCAAGTATGTATAAACACCAAGAATTCTGTGTTGTATTTGTGGATTGTGAGTTGATTTATTAACAGCCATGGTAGTGTTTTACACAAGTGCAGATTGGCTTTGGCTTGTATACTGTATTTATTATCAAGCCTTACCTCCTCATGCTTTAATATATCATGACTTTGAATATTTGAAACAAAAACTTAGAATATCTTAAGTAATGATTATTCACATTAAAATTGGCATTCTTCATTTTGTTTTACTATTTTTAACATGTTCCTAAAGGTTGGTGGATCAGTAGGGCATCTATACCCAAATTAAGGCACAAACTCTGATTCTAATGCTAAAAACTACTTAATTTCCTTATGTCAATCTAGTGTCTGGTTGCTGTTTGGATACCTATTTACTTTTCTTTTTTCTTTAGGAGAGGCCGCTGGCGGCAACAAAATGGAAGACATGATCCGTGAGTTGTCAGCTGCACTGTCTGGAGTCAAACACGAACAGGATTACATGGAGGTGCGCGAGCGCATTCACCGCTCCATCAACGACAACACCAATTCTCGGGTGGTATTGTGGTCCGTGTTTGAGGCACTAGTACTAGTAGCCATGACAATTGGACAAGTTTATTACCTCAAACAGTTCTTTGAGGTTCGAAGGGTTGTTTAGATCTGACGGGTGACACCTTCTCCCCTCTAAAAAAAAAACTATAAATTGTAACTTAAGAAAAATGTTAATTTGTAACATTGCTCATGTTAAGTCATCAATCAATGGTTTTCCCTAGAAATTCATTCCATTTGAAATTTGCCCAACAGGTTTAATATTTCATAAATTATTGAGGATACATCATAAAAGGGACAGTTTTCTAGACATTGGGGTTCATACACAGAGTATTACTAACAGGCTTCATATACTATACAGTACTGCCACCATAGGAATATAAATATGTTCTCATTATTTACTAAATATATTTTTATTTACGAGACTGCTACTTCAAAATCACGAACAGTTTAAAATCCCGGGTCAGCTTACGCTGATTTCCTTTTACGTACTTTTTCAAAATCGGGAACAATGGAAAGTCAGCTTATAGTGATTTCCTAAGTCTGTACCTTTTGAACTAATGAACAATAGGTACCCTGTAATGATTTCTCTCACGTTTTTAACACTCAAGCCAGTTAATACAATGAAATCCAGTGATGAATTTGTTAACACTCCTTAATAAGTGCAGTTTTCCCTGTGTGTTTCTTTGCTTTGCGTTAAAACATTCAAGTGGATGAAAGTTCAAATTTCGTTTTTTTGTTTTTTGTGTTGCTGTGTCAAGGTGATGTTAAGAGTGAAAGTGTGTGATAGTTATTAGCTGTTTTTCTTCTCTGGATGGTAAGATAATGTGACAGTGGGATAACAGTAACATGACACTGACCCAGCTGGGTAGTTACTATGTAATATTTTTGTCTTTAATTCATTTAATGTCTTTGAGGATATCAATAACTCCACTATCTAAAATTATTTAATATCTTGTTCTTAAACCTTTCTTTAATGATGTTGTGGAGAATTATTGTGCTTTATATGTTTTTAAACTGTGACATGGATGTAAATTTTATGCGTGTTCTTCATTTGAAGCTAATAAAGTTTATATGATTCAAATTTGGCTTTGTATTTGTTGTTCCCGTGAATATTGTAGTACAGTATATGAATGAGCTGCAGCATTCCAAGTTTAGAGAAGCTAAACTCATCAACTTTGTCTTTGAGGATAGTTAACTAGTAATACATAATAGCCATAGTAAAAGTGAGTTGATGCAGCAAGGGCAAATTGTTTCAAATTTGTCTAATGGCAGCAGGTTATCATGGGTAGGTTAGGTGAGGAAGAGTGGAAAGTGTTTGTAAAATTGTGGTGAGGGTGAACCCAGACAACAAGTGTTCTATCTTGAATTTCACGTTTACAGATTATATTTTGAATTTTACAAGAGGTACTATATTATAATAAAATGTTTTTAAATGCCACCCTTGATTAATAGATAAATTCATTATAGGAAAGACCAAAATATGCATGATTATAGGACATGGAATATTATTTATGATTAAGAGCTTTGTGAACACTCCTGGTGATAGGTTTACTCAGAGCAGCTTGACCCATAACCTGGATGTTTAGTGATGTACTGTTGAGGTTAAGAATCTACAGAAAGAGACTGCTGTTGGATGGTACATAAGAAAAGCCTTTGAGATATTTTGACATCTTCAACACTCCTGGTAATGGAAGCAGTGTATAGACTGGTAGTGTAGTAATTGGAAATTGTTACACCAGAATCAGGCATTACTTTCTTCTGGGAATGTTGACGCTAAGGTCCACATTTCAAACCAGGACTGCGACTCCTCAACAAAATTATTGCTGCTGTAGGTATAATTTAACTGTTATTTTTTCCTACATTAAGGCAACTACTGCATCTTTTCTCACATTTCCACCACAACTTGGCTTTACAAGTGACATGTTTGGGATACATGAACTCAATGTAGCAGATTTTTGAAGCACGTTTATAACTGTCAATAATTCTTACGACAATACTGTATGTGTAAATAATAATAAAAAAAGTCGACCCAACAGTACCAAGCTTAGAGCTCTCCACTATATTTGTTTTGCTCTTATTTTCATTTAAAAATAATATTAACAAATATTATATAGTGTATATTATGGGTCATCTTGTACTAGACAAATTGTGCAGTTACCCAAATATTGAAATAGTTATACAAAAGAACCCACAATTAGTTAAGTTGTTACAACAAGCAAAGTATTTCTGAAAATTGCTGAATAACAAACTGTAAAATAATGCATAGTAAGTTTTAATGACAATAGTCGCAGCTTCATAATGACCTAACACCTGGTATATACATGGTTCTTCTGTGATGTAAATATCATGATGGTCTTACTTAAGTTGGCCAGCCAGGCCCAGTCACCAGTTGTCACTCTTGCCAATGACATCGTAATTCTCTCACACAGAGGAATAGTCAAAAGTACCAGCTTACCACAAGTGACTATTGTGAGAATGTAAAGGAACAAACAGTTCACTTAAAAACTTGTAAATCATGCACAAACTGTGAACAAGGATTACGGGAAAAAGACCATTTATAATTTAATAGGGGGGTGAAGGTGCACTCGTAGTGGACGTCTCCCCTACAAACTGCGTATCGCATTCCAATGTGCCGCCTTCCCTAGCAACCAACCAGATGCTACCGTATCTTAGCAACGGAACCAGTCACCGGCGACTTTCTGGGTTTTCCCAACATGACTCATAGCGGCTGCTGCTGGGTATATAAGCTCTGTCTCTCCATTGAGATTCATTCTGACCATTCTTCCTGAACAAGCAACACCTCCTCCTCAGCCGCTGCCTGGCTGCCTTCGCTTCTCCTCGCCTGCCTGGCGGTCCTCGCTCCCGCCAGCGAGCATGGCGACCCACCAGCTGAACTTCTCTGAGCTTCCTCACCAACCAACTCTCATTCTGCCCATCTTCCTGAACAAGCAACACCTCCTCCAGCAAGCTCCACGCTGTTAACATTTATTTCAACCAGGAGGCCAGCAACAGGCAACATCTTCTCTAACAAAGCTCCTGCACATCTACCTCCTTCAACACGCTACTCACCGAACGTCTTCTACTGAGCAGCCCCCCACCACACGGCATCTCCAGCACCAGACTGTCTATCATATAACTTATATATTATACAAGAAAACCACATTAGAGTTTCCTTCCATCCTGAGTGCTAGACAACATTAATATTTCGATACCCCTACACACTCCTTTACCCCCCCCCCTCCCCCTCCCCCTACAGATGCCAATACATGATTGCAAAATTAGTCATTTGAAAAAAGCTAACATTTTAACTCCATTAAGTATTGTTATTTTACAAATATAATTAAGTCATATACTGAACATAAATTATGTATGTTGTCTAGGTAATAAAGTGTGTATGTGCAAGGTAACACTGTTTTTCTTTGTACTAGGGTTTGTAGTGGATCTCTCCCCTACAACAGCCTAGCCGCATTCCAATGCGACAGTATTCTAGCAACCGGCGAGTTTCTCACGGGGAGGGTCGCCACCTGCGACGCTTGCATCCGGGTTTACCCTAGCAACGGAGTCCAGCAACCGGCGAGTTCCCACGGGTTTACTTTCCGGCTGCTGTGTATATAAGCTCTCAGTCTCTCCATTGAGATTCATTCTACCCTAAGTTCCTGAACACGCAACGCCTCCTCTGAGCAAGCTCCTCGCTGTCCAGCTTTCATTCTAGCTACAGCCCAGCAACACGCAACATCTCCTCCTCTAACGAAGCTCCAGCACGCTACTCACCCAACGTGTCCTCTGTGCAAGCTCATCACCACACGGCATCTCCAGCACCAGACTGTTTTGTATATAATATATTTTATATAAGAAAACCACCACCTAGTTTCCATCCATCCCATCCTGAGTGCGAGACACATAACTTAAAATAACCTTACAGGTTTCTAACAATCCCCAACTCCATTTATTCTTTTAATTTTTTTGTTAATAATCTGTAACGTAGAATTCATTTTAGCAAAAATTTACTAAACTTTCATTATTTGAACTCTTTGTTATTAAAATTTCTATAACTAAGGTTAATTTCTTTAATATAATTATCCTAAATTAACTACACTATGATTATTTATACACAGTTAATACTATATTATTATTATTATTATTATTATTATTATTATTATTATTATTATTATTACCAACCGATTCTAAAGAATTTTTATGGATCCAATTATTAAATCAAACAATTCAGACACTTTTCTTCTATAACGTCTCCCTCGCAAATGACGTATATTATTATTGTTATTATTAACCATTTAATTAACGTTACACTCAAATGGTCTCTTTAATACTACGGTAACATCTTTAAATTCATTCAAGTCATTTAAACTCATTCATAAAACTGTGTATTTACGTCCATTTTCTGTTACAATAAAAGAAAATGAAACTTTACAAGGGCTAACTTCTTTAACATTTATTATTTCCTGTCAGCCGCTTGGGAGGTCAGTCACGTCTCTTTTAGGCACTGTGGGCATGTACTAGCTCTCTTTTACTAATTCAAATTAATGTCAGCAAAGAAAGAAATATTAATTGGTCACTTTAAGTTCTCTAAGATTAACAAAAACTTCTAGAGAAATACAGTACTTGAAATGTGAAAAAAAGTATACGAATATAATTAGGGATGAGGGGATAACAGATATATTAATTGGGAAAGTTGGGGGGTAGGAGGGCCAGGGGATGACAGAGACTGGGATAAATGAATAAAATAAAGACCAAGTCCCCATAAACACAAAACCTTAGAGGATACTGTGTGAGAACGTTTAGTGTGGACTGTGGTCGCCAACCCTCAGGTATAAGGACGATACTGTGATTGATTGACTCATGTTGTCTTGGCTTCTGAACAGCAAACAACATATATAAAAAAAATAGATCGTTTATACCTGTATGTGTCCCAGCTCCAGTAGGTGACACAACCTAATATAATTATCGTGGTAATTTATGAGGAACCGCTACCACCAGGAGGAGCTGTTCGATTTCGTTATTTTTTTCCTAAGGTAACATTTACACCCATGACTAGACATTTACACCCATGACTAGACATTTACACCCATGACTAGACAATTACACCCATGACTAGACATTTACACCCATGACTAGACATTTACACCCACGACTAGACATTTACACCCACGACTAGACATTTCCACCCGATAATTTGACCTTTATCACTTGAAAAAAATAAAATAGAATACATTCATGGGACCAGCAGCCAGACGATACCAAAACAAAGGCTTGATTCAACAGTTAACCTGGGATTAATTATTAAAGTAGACTGATTGTGAACCAGAGTGACTATCATTCTCGCCCGGATGTGTGGAGAGATGAGGGGGGGGGGGGTGTCTCCGTATGTATTTGTCCTTGAGATCATTGTACTCTGCCTCATACACTTTTATAATGCTTTTACACACAACTATAATGCCTGACACACTTTTATGATGTTTCCCAAACCTTTTATAATGCCTGACACGCCTCTATAATGCTTGACACACCTTTATAATGATTGACATAATTTTATAAAGCTACCCACACTTCTATAATGCTACCCACACCTTTATAATGCTACCCAAATCTCTATAATGCTCACTACACCTATATCCAGCTTACCTTCTACTGAAAATCAATTAAGGTATCACTAATTACAGGTAAAGAAACCTCTGACACCTTCTCTATCTATCTATCTATCTATCTATCTATCTATCTATCTATCTATCTATCTATTTATCTATCTAATTAGTGCACTACCCTCACGTACTCAGTCAGGCGTAAGGCTTGGTTCCGAGTCCTGGCACCAACAGGATGACGGTATTGGTACACACACACTATGAGTCAATGATAATTATGCCTTTAAATAATTCAATCACTGTGAAGGGGGGTGAGGGAGAAGGGAGAGGGGGGGGAGGGAGAGAGAGTGTGGGTCGAGAGGAGGGGGAGAGGAGGGGGAGGAAGGAGGGGGAGGAAGGAGGGGGCGCTGAAGTTGAGGACATATTCCCTTCAAGTAGTAGACATCCCACTTAAGACGCACAGTACCCCGGCCTGGACAGTGTT